AGTCAATGCGATCTGAGCCGAAAGACAGCTGATCTGAGGATCTACACGCAATGCTACCGCCTTCATGAATGGACACTTTTCGCCCAAATATGACTCACAATTGTCAATTCGAATGTGGTGTTTCCTGGGAAATCCAGGCCGCTTAGCGACTGAAATGGGCTTTTCTGGTGATCCAGAATCGTTGACGATGCCTCGATCCGAGACGCCGTGATCCGCGTCCAGGCTCACGTTGCAAAAATCCAATTTAACGCCGATCGGCGGTGACATTGGCGATCTGTAGAAGCATGCAATACTTACGTCGACGCCAATTTCCGTTTGTTGATTGAATTTGTCATCTACGTCGAAACCGGATCTCACAACTGACTGTTCTTGTTGGACAATATCGACTTTTGGTACATTTTCATCATCGGACTGATTGATATTGACGTCCAAAAATGACGTTTGTCGCATAAATTCACAATCACAAGCAACAAGATGACCGTTTGGTGATGATCCGTTTTGCCCCTCCAACCTTTCATGCTCGAGCAGATCGTCAATTTGTTGAGCCAACAAATTGAGCGCAACCGTCAAACACGTGAGAATGGCATGAGATCGCGTTGAAACATTGTGTTGCTGTGGCAACAAATCATCGACAAATTGTGCCAAAGCGTCCAACAATTTGCTGTCAACTATGCTGTACCAGTCGGTGGCATCGTTTTGCGACAGTTGCCCCAACAGATCATGTATCCAAATGTTGTGCTCGCTCAGATGAAGATGCAAAAGACTGTTGAATCGTCTTGCAAGACCACTTGTTCCATCATTTTGCAAGGTGGTGTAGTTGACGAGGCTGAGATCGGTGGTTTGTGAAGATGAGGCTGAATGTGTATTGCTGGGCAAAAAGATGAGACGACAATGTTGCAAGAAATGACGTGAAATAGCATCAACACGACTGTCTTTCAGTTGACAATCCGACGGACACGGTTGAAGAGAAAGTGTGAACAGTTGCGGAAGATGCGTTGGACCCAACTGTACTTGAATGTCGGTCGAGTGGTTGAAGTTTGTGAACATGC